ACTAACATAAAAAACAGATTTGGAATCTAAAAAATTCCAGATCTGGAAAAAAAATCAAGTGACGAGGAAAAGAGAAGGCAGGGTAGAGGCCATTACCTCGAGGTGAGGGCGGTTGAGAGGAGGACGGCAAGAGAGATGTCAGCGACAGAGAGTGGAGGGAGGCAAAGGGTTGCATGATGGTGGAGGGAGGCGGAGGGTTGCACGATGGTTATGGAGGCGTCATCATTGTTGGAGGTAGCGGGAGGTGGAGACGGCGGCAGCGGCAGCATGGAACAGACGGAGGGAGACGACAGCGACTAGGGTTATGGGTGGGAGGGGAGAGAGGAGGGAGAGAATGTGAGAGGTGGGGAGAGTTATTATTATTTATTTTTTTGTTAATAAAGAGGGATTATATAGAAAATGAGAAAGGTAATTATGTGATAAGTTTTTTCATTCCCAAAATACCCCTTGTTTAATCCTAACCGTCAATTTGAAAAATATAGGAAAGAGACAGGAGAGAGAACGCATCCAATGGTTACAAATGGGGAAGTGAATCTCACATCCTTCTTAGAAGGATATGACGGTATATATATATGGTTCAGGATAGTGTACGTTAGTCGTACATTGTACACCCGTCGAGTTTTACTATTTAGAGCACGAATTAACCGAAATTTTGGGCATGACATAATTTTAAAATCTAGCTTCCAGCTTCTACAACATATACCGATCAGCCATGGCCGCCAGGACCTGACTTACTTCCGCAAGCTCCTATTAAAGGACACTCCCTATATAATGTGATCTCAATTGGGTCACTATACGAGTCTGTGTTGCTTGACTGAGAATCCATACCAATCACTATCAAAATCTTGGAAAATTGGCTAAGTCTTTTAGCGTGTTCAAGAAGACCACTTTGCAAGTTTGGTCGATGCAATTGGCTCAATGGAAAATGGAGAATGAAGGCTTGTTTTGAATATGGACTAATCCTCTACAGGTTTGTGAACTTGGATGCTCAGGAGAAGCCAGGAAGACCCATTTCCAGGTCGTACAAAAGCTTATGTTAAAACCGAAAATCTGCTAGTTTTTGGCCAAGTATAGAGGACAGCCTGGGAATCGATTTTGGAGGCTTTGTTCGAGGGGAAAGGTCGAGCTTCAGAGTAAGAGGATAGCTGTCCATGAAAGTTGACGATTTCTACTACAGAGATAAGGCGTTGGCCGATCGAAAGAAGGCTTGAAAGGTCTCAATTGAAGTGCTAGAAGATGCCTCGTTTGGAAGACTGCCAGCGAGACAATCCGAGTCCTTTGCGGATTAGGATTCAATGACTGTTTTGGGTTTAGTTTATTATTTCCGTGTTTGCTTGCAATTAGGATTTTGTTTTGGATTTGTAACCCTAGGTTCTATTTAAGCAGTCCATTGCATTGTAATAGTTAGTTTTTTTACGTCAATTGAATACAAACTGCACGTTTGATTCACAACTCTTGCTTGTGTTTGAGAATAGCTTAGAACGAGTTATAGGGCTCTCGTTGCTGTATCAATCAAGCCATCCATTCTTGATCATGGCCAGCCTCGACTTGATTATTTTCGAGTCTTCGGCCTGTGTGTACGATTGCACGAAAGAGCTAAACCACCAACTACCCATTCATACCCTGTTTACATCCGAAATTCGAATTGGAATTCGATCCCAATTCTCGTTGTGCAACTCTGATTTGAAACCACCCTTCTAGGGGGCTGGATGTTGGGTTCTGTAATTGACTTGCTTGTCAGAGTGCTTTTTCGTGCCGATTTTTGCTGCTGCTCGACCTAGATTGCAAGGTGTAAAGCCTCCTCCAAGTTGACATAAGCCCTGAGCTCAACCTCCTGCTGGATTTTCCTATTCAGGCCGTGCAGGAATTGGGCAATCGTTGCGTCCCGATCCTCTCAAATGTCGGCTCTCATCATCAGCAACTCAGGTTCCCTAAGGAATTCTTCCACACCCCGAGCTCCTTGACGAATCCCTTGCAAAGCTTCATGAATTTCCCTTCGATAGTAGGCGGGTATAAAAAGATCTCGCATTAGACCACGCAGTTGTTCCCAGGTTGTGACCTCTGGTTGCAAGTTTTGTTGTCGACGGAGACGAACCTGCTCCCCCCACTGAGCAGCGTAATCGCTGAACTCACAAGTAGCCAAAGCTACTTTCTGTTTTCTGTGTAATGCCCACACTGAAAAAATAGAATTATCTTACGTTGCCAGTCTAGATAAGTTGTGGCATTCGTCGTTCCGTGTAATACACATAGTAATGCATCATAACATGAAACAAACATACACAAAACGAAATCAGCAATGCTCCAAGAAGGACCATCAATGCTTTAGAACATCTTATTAATTCATAGAAAATGTACATCACATCATTGAATAATTAAAAAGAGCTTAGCTAACCATGAGAGAATGAGAAGGAGTAGACAAAAAATGAGACATTCTCCTCACTCTAGCAGAGCTTTAGCATGTCTGAGTTGTATAAAAGTACTTTACATCTTAAGTCTAAGCACCTATTTATAGTACATGAGATAGGGGTACAAAGGATATTATCCTCTAAAACTCAGCATAAACCTTCCCAATCTGAATCAAAGTCGGTTTTCATCCCCATTTTGACAAAGTAGCTTATAGAGGAAGTTTCCTTGAGGCTTAGGGAGAGCAGCGTTATACCAACGGTTGGGCCCGCCGTTCCATTTCTTTGTGGGTTGGGCTTTTTGGCCCATAGACTTCATCTCCTCTCATTTTGGATGCAACTTGTAGCACCAACGTGTGGTTGGACTCGTTGCTCGGACAATCGCTCTTTCTTTCACCATAATGGACAGAGTCTTCTTCCTATGGGTTCATCTTGACATAATTTAGCGACTTCTAGTTGATTTCTCCATCATTGGACCACTCCTTCTATGCGAAAACTTCTTAAACTTCTCTTGATAGCTCATTTGGTCCTTCCGAGTTCTTCAATGCTTGATCAAGTTTTCCTTAGGTTGCTTTGTAGAGTCAAAACCATCAAAAGTATACCTAGAAGGCATCAAATAATACAAGAACATTACCTATGTCTATTAAAGGTTCATTGATAAGAAAAATGTGATTTAGAGTTTTTTTTTATTGAAATGACTAAAGATGCTTCAATAAAAGGATAAAATGTATCAAATATGGGAATGGAAGACCTCTACAATCACCAGACTTTCTTTGTTACAAATAGAAAGACATTCTTTGGTGTATGATCCCCTTTGTGAGAGCAATAGCTGTAGGCTAGAGGCTTTACAATAGTCAAGAATATCAAATCAAGTGTTGGGTTGTTAGCTGGGATTTGAGTGAGAAGTTTTCTTTGGTTTAAGTGTGTAGTGAGTCTGTCATATAGCTAATAAGCTTTCTCGAAATCTTGAGAAAGATTGTTTATCTCTTTGTACTTCGATCTGTTTCAATACAAAGTCTTGTTCTCTTTCTGAAAAGCGTTTTACAAGTGGTATCAGAGCTTGGTTTCTTGTTCGAGTTAGCTACTGCCAATAAGTTATTAAGTTATCTCTTCTCTCTTTTTAGAATGGCTAGTTACTATGGAAACTCGTCTTTTCCAATAAGTCTAATCTTTCATGTTTTAATGGGTCTGATTATCCTGTCTTGAAGAAACTAATTAGGTTGTTTTTTAGAGGAATTGACTCTAATCTATGGGCTACCGTAAGAATTGGTCATATATAAATGGTGGCAGATATTGACGTATGGAATGCAACTCAAAAGAAAAGTGTTCAATTCGACTCTAAAGCTATGCATATCATCCTGTCTACTGTCTCTCCTGGAAAAGAAAGTCGTGTCACAAAGTGTGAAACTCCCATGACATGTGAGACATCTTTGAAACCACATATGAAGGCACAAATGAATTAAGGAAGCCAGAATTGAGGTTCTTTTAAGCGAATGTGAGTCATTCAAAATGCATCAAGGAGAAACTATTTCTTATATGTACAAAAGGTTTACAGATATTATGAATAGACTCTAAGGTCTAGGTGCATAATACTTTCTCTACTAAAGAATTAGTTTTGAAAATTGTTTAGATCTCTTTCTAAGGCATGGATACCTAAAACAAATGCTATTGAAGAAGCTAAATATTTGAATACCTGATCTGTTGAAAATTTCATGGGTTCTTTTCTTAGGTCATGGGGAAGTTTTAACCCAAATAAACAAAGATGATAGCAGGCGAAAAAGAAATATGAATTTCAAAACATCATCTCGAAATGATGAATCTGAGTTAGGTGATGATGTAGATAAAGAGATTGTTATACTTAACACAATTATTAGCATTTGTTACAAAAATAAAGTGACAATTGGATAAATCAATTATGACGATCTGGACTCGTAATGGATGAAACTTAAAGGTTGCAAAAACTTGTAAAAAATGTTTTCGATGTTTGCAAAATATGTTGCAAAAAGTTTGAAATGTGTTGCCTAAAATGGTTTGCATAAGAGGTAATTATATGAAACACTTATTATTTTGGTTGCCAAAAATGAAAAAAAAAAATTGTGTACACCTTGCAACCCCCCACTATAATCAACCTGGGTGAAAATGTAACGCTAAAATGTTGCAAATCTTTTAAGACTATACGTGATTGTATCCCTGTGATAGGCATGCATATTCTTATGACTACTGCCAGCTGACATCATGACACAATTTTGAACTTGTAGTCTGCCCCCCGTTTGATGTATTGTGCTTTGATCAAATTAGCATACAAACCGTAGATACATTATGCTGAAATAATATCCGTCTGGTCGGGCAATTGATCGGACATCAAGCTTGCAATGAAATGAAAAAAGTTGTCTTATGATGCATCATTTATGTTGCTGATTTGTTTATACTAGAGAAGTTTGATCCCTAATTAATTGGATATGCTTTTAACAATAATATTTTCGTATAATGTTTTGGCCGGCGACTCACATCTCTTCATATTTACATTGTACGAGATTGATAACTCGACACATAAAATCATTTTTAAAAAAATAAAAAGATGACTAATACATTATCAAGAAAAACAAACACGTTATATTACTTTGAACTCTGAAAGAAGCCAAACACAAAAATCAAACTCACCACACCATGCAGAAAACAAAGAAATGGCTCGAAAATAAAATCTCTCCGTAACTGGAAATTACGAATAAAACATGTATCATGATAAACAAGCGCGAGCCTCTTAGGTCGGTATTTTCCACAACTAAAGTATATACGGCCTAATTAAAATTCGTGGCTAGGAACGTAACTATATATATATATACTGAAATGCCCTACGAATACCGGACTACCGGCGTAACAAAACCCGACGAAGTACCCCTGGCATTCGCACACGTGGCCGTCGCCTCCTCACCACGGCCACCGCCGACGTAAGTAATCTTCACGTCATGCATCGTAATCCCAGCGCAGGGGTTTGCCTTGCTGCACTCGAACCTCACGGCGACCTTGCTCCGCGACGTGCCACCTATGCTCTTGTACCTGATGCCGTTCACCTTGATCCCAGAGGCTTGACGGGGACAGTTCCGGCGTCCGGGGCAGTAGTTCTGGTCGATGAGGATTGGGTTCTTGACGCCGTCAAAGACGACGTGATGGAAAAGGACGTTCCTCACGAAGCCCAAGCTGCGGCGAGCCCACGTCTTGATCCGGAGGCCGTTAGTCGTCTCCGTGAAGTGGACTCTCTTAACGGTGACGTTCTGGACACCGGGCTCCTGAAACTTCCAGCCCAAGCTCCCGATGCTGATGCCGTGGCCCGGCCCACAAGCCACGCGCTCGATCCAGACGTTGCGGGCCCCCGGGCCCATTGAGATGCAGTCGTCGCCCGTGGATATGGTGGAGTTGAGGACGGAGACGAAGGTGGACTTCTCGATGTGGATGCCGTCGGTGTTGGGGCTGGTTCCCTGGGCAGCGACGGTGATGTCGCGGAGGTTCACGTTTTGGCAGCCGGTGACGGCGATGTGGAACTTCTGGCTGTTCACGGAGGTTAAATCATCGATTGCCACGTTCTTTGAGTTGGCGATGTGCAAATTCTGCATGGGAAAAAAACCCACGTAGAACCATAAGTCACGTAACAATTAATTGTGAAATTGATTAGGTTATAGCCTAATGATCTAATGAGTAGTGGGAAAGAAGCAAAACTTACCATGGCGCCGGTGGGGCAGTCTTTTCGGCCGTCGAGCTTGCAAGACCAAAGTCCAGTTCCTTGTCCGTCAAGTATCCCGCCGGAGATCCTAACGCCATCAACGTCGTGAAACAGAATCCAGTTCTTGGCGTTCCCAATGACGGAATAGTCTGACGGAGCCACGAGGGTTCCGTCTATCCGCACCAAGATGTCCTTGCTCCTACACGGCCCTTCGAACCCTAGGTTTCGGACGTGAAATCTTCCGTGCGGCACGTAGACGACGGACGAGCGCGGGTCGCTGCATGCTTTCCTCCATGCTTCGGATAACGCTTTTGTCGAGTCTGTTTTTGGGTCCGCCCTAGCGCCGTAGTCCGTCACACTGTACACCGACGGCCGCGAGGCGGAGGCGACCGATGCGGCGGCGAGGAAGAAGATAACAGTGGCGACGAAGAGAGACGAGGACTTTACCATTGTTCGCTAGAGTGAGTGAGTGAAACGTGTATGCTAAAAGGATGCGGAGATCGACGGCGGTAGCACGCACAAACGTGGAAAGGCTATTAAGATTGTGTTGTTGTCTATTACTGATAGCTAGGGCTTATATTTATAGCCTACAGAAGTTACATAGAAGTAATCGGAATTACAAAACCAATAAGGAAAAGGAATACAACTTAGAGATTTAATATCCTTAGAAAGAAGGAACTTAGACCGTAATATAGGCAATTACTTACCGCAATTACAATAGATACTAATTACCGTTAAGGTCAAGAAATTCTAAATTTATGATTTTGTGGTACTAATATTAGTTCTACTACTTTGATGATTTGGGCTCCCTCTTTCTCATTGTTTCTAGCTATCTTTTGCTTGAGATTTATCTTGGTCGCCAAACGGATTCTCTCCCTTTCTTATTCTGTAATTATCAGTTAGGGTTAGTAAAAGGTTGGTAAAGGAATATAATTGATTCCCAAAACATTCGGATGGCATCTCTAGTATATGGTAAACTCTTAGAAGCTAGCTTTTAAATTGCTTTTCAGGATTTTGATATGTAAATTTTAACATCAGATTGAGTCTGGTTTGGATTAGTTTTGTTGCCAAATGAGAAAATACAACTTACTTCTCTTTAGTCGAGTTATCCTTTCAACCTTTCCTTTTATAAGATCATAATCCTTAATTCATCATTGCTTCTCATCTATTATTCCCCTCTTCTCGATCTATACTTTCAACACTAGCGTCTTCCGCATCCAGATCCAACAACCAGCGTACTCCGTGGAGGCACCATGTGATGTTACCCCTATCTTCATTTTATGCGATTCCCGTATTGTGGCAAATTTGGTGTCATCACTCAACGCGAATTCCAGCCTCATCCTTGAAACTCTAGCCCTGCACCTGCAACTTCACCAACCCCGGGTGACGAGCCACGGCAATCGCACCTATCAAAGCTACTAGCATAATTATTGAAATGAATTCAAATGGAAGAAAAAAATATGTTGACAAATTAATATTTGCGATATCAACAATTACTATCCATTTCGATCTCACAACTGAAAAGGAAATATAAAGCAAATATGTATATAGCTAGAGACAGAAACTTGTTAATTATAGGACCATGTTGTAAATAGCCATTCAAAATTATGATTGTAATTACAACCTATTTATATCATTCTAATGTACTCTTAAGTAAACGAAATAAGAAAATCTAAAACCTGAGAGGGAGATCCTCTCCGTGGACTAGTACCATACTGACGATACCACATTAAAAAAGTTCTTGTGTTCTTTCTTTCTGCTTAATTAATTGACATGGTATCAGAGCCTCTCGACTGAAGCTCGTCCAATCAGGTTTTCCGCTTTCTTGGGTCTATTGCTTGATCACGTCCGACTCTAGGGTTGTCCTCGCCGCCCTCTAGTTATCTCTCGCTGCTGTGGAGTATTTTTCTTGGTCGACGCTTCTGGATATCTCGCGTCGCTGCTGCTGGTTTCTTCCTTGTTGCCGCATCTCTAGCTGTGTCTCTTGTGCGTTGCTGTTGTCGTTGTTTTCAATTATTATTTGTGATCTCGGCCTGTTTCTAATGGACTGCTCTAAACTGGAAGCTGCCACTATGTTGCTGGTCAGTATACAAACAATCTTAGGAACAGTGTGTTTGTCCGGTATTATAACCGGAATTCACCATCTAGTCAATAAATTTGACTCGACCAACTTTTATGCCATGACTAGTAGTCAACCCTTTCTTAACACATAGAGTTTTATTTCTTTCTTCAATTTATACATCTCATGCCAAAAAAAAAAAAAAAAATTCAATTGAAAATTCAAGCTTATGAAAAGGTATACCCCAGACAGGAACGTAAAATATTGTACTGCTAACAATTCATGTAATTCCCGTAATATGGAAAAGGGAAAACTACTACATATATCGCCAAACAAGCCGCCGGCGTCTGTGAGCTAGCCAGCTAAACTCCGCGCTTCAGCCATGGCCGCCGGGACCTGACTTGCTTCCGCAAGCTCCTATCCAAGGACACTCCATATCTGCCACAGATCAACAAAGCTATACATGTCAAAACTAGTGATGATGACTAATTACTCATGTAAAAATATTAGGTACTCTACTACTTTAAGCTACAGTTAACTTTTCTTCCAACTAATTCTAAGCTACGTGTAAGCTTTCCGGCGGGGAAAGGTAGGGACAACCATGGGCTCCGGGAGATCGTGGGCCGGCGCACTCCGGCCAGAAGGACACTCGTACCGGTGTTAGTGAATCAGAATACGTTGGAAACTGATGTTTCTTATTACGGAAACAATATAGGGTTTATATAGAGTATATAAATTGACTTCTATAATAACTCTAACACTAATACGAAAATTACCTAACTTATACTCTCATCACAACATAAAATTATAATTTATTACAGCAGGAGAGAAAGTAATTAAGAGGTAGAACTACAGTCCAAATAGTTAGATCGTAGAATCAAGATCTAGTAAGATGTGGTACTTCACCTTGGCGGGATAATCTTGCCCAAGTTGGTTCCGTGGAAATCAAAATCGTGAACGCATATACTAGCAGCAGAAGAAGAAGAAGAGTCATCTTCTTTACCTGAATCTCCATCTAGCTGATTAATCTCTGCCTCAAGACTCAAGTTAATGTCTAGTTATGAGTTTCCACAGAGGGAAGTACTGCTAATTGAAATATATATGATGGAGGTTAACAGGTACTAATCAACAACAGTAGCTAGCTGAATACTATATAAGAAGAATGTATTAATAGCATTATCTTTCCCTGCCAGTTAAATTATAGTTTATAATATCGCGATAAGCATCGATTGATGTCAATAACGATAAACTAAATTAGAATCTCACACCCATTTTCTTACACAAAACGGTCAATATTGAGTGTTGGGCAAGTCATTTTAATGCAAATAGATTACCTTGTTATAACAAAAGGAAAAGAAGACGCGTAAGTCCATAATAAAAATATTCTTAGCATGATCTCATTTTTCTCATTTATTTGCCTATCAATTCGGCGACCATACCTATGTAGATATCTTAAGAGTTAAGAGTACTTTTTTTTTCCGTTCCAATTCTCGAGTACATTATTATTATTATTATGAAATTAAACGAAATGATGACAGCTGGATCGAGAAAACCTGTTCATTAACATAACGTAGCTTGCAGTTTCAGTACCTTACCGAACTTGCCTTTAATTCTCCCAATCCCGGCTCTCACATTCTGCTGGAGAACGCCTCCCAAGCCGACGCCACGGCGGACTGCAGAGTCAGCATCCTATCCTCCAGGCTGGCCTTCCTCTTCTCCACGTACGCCTCCCAGCCCGCCGCCTTTCCCTTGAGCTTCACAATCTCGTCGTCCCTGTCGGCCAGCTCACGCCTCAGGCTCCCCTTCCGGGAGGGGTTACGGTGCTAATTGTTGTTGGAAATGTATATGAATAGCTTTGAAATCTATAGAAGCTCTAGTGGAAAAACTACCACATTGGTAGTTTTACTTGGTGACATGTGTATAAAGATAGAGCCTCTCTCCCAAGGGCATGCCCCTTGGGGTGACCCACTTTTGTGGGAGAGGGAGGACCTAACGGACCACCACACACGCGCGCGCCGTCCGACCGGTCGGTTGGTTGGTTGTTTGGTTCACTTGAGACTATATATATATTTTTGGATAATCGACTAAAACGGAATATTCGAAGGATAATCCCTCCGGGTTTATCTTAACCGACGGTTTTAATTAAGGAAGTAATTATCTTCCTTAATTAATCCGACTTATTCCCCAATAGACGCGTAAGTCCATAATTATCTTCCTTAATTAATCCGGCCATCCGACTTATTCCCCAAGCGAAAGTTGACCCCTCTAATCACATCACAACGAGCAGAAACACAATAGAGAAGAGTGTTTAGAGAGCTTCGGTTTTCGCACAAAACCGCGAGTATTGAGAGGAGCTGTTTTATCCTAGAGACGACCGGTTGATAGTCTGTGGTGCGCATCGAAGGCAGTGCCGCGAACGTCTTAAAGAGAGCGACCTAGTCCGCGACTCAGCTCCAGATTCGGTAACCTCGTTTCTTTTGTTGTTCCGTTCCTAACAATTTTAAGACGTTCGGCTGCTGCTATGTCGACTGAACGGAACAACATGGCCGGATCTGGTGCTGTCGATATCAATCGACCCTTTCGCTTCGTTGGGGTCAACTTCCGTCGCTGGAGGCAAAAGATGGAGTTCTACCTGACAACCAAGAAGCTGGCCCACTCCTCACCAGCATGCCCGTCGAGCTGCCGGAAGAAGCGACCGATGAGGAGAGGGTTGCTTCTGCCAGGGAAAGGGAGCATGACTTCCTATGCAAGAACTACATCCTCAACGGCCTGGCAGACGATCTGTACGACTACTATGCGGACAGTAAGAACACCACGTCTGTCGTGCGCATCGAAGGCAGTGCCGCGAACGTCTTAAAGAGAGCGACCTAGACCGCGACTCAGCTCCAGATTCGGTAACCTCGTTCCTTTTGTTGTTCCGTTCCTAACAATTTTAAGACGTTCGGCTGCTGCTATGTCGACTGAACAGAACAACATGGCCGGATCTGGTGCTGTCGATATCAATCGACCCTTTCGCTTCGTTGGGGTCAACTTCCGTCGCTGGAGGCAAAAGATGGAGTTCTACCTGACAACCAAGAAGCTGGCCCACTGCCTCACCAGCATGCCCGTCGAGCTGCCGGAAGAAGCGACCGATGAGGAGAGGGCTGCTTCTGCCAGGGAAAGGGAGCATGACTTCCTGTGCAAGAACTACATCCTCAACGGCCTGGCAGACGATCTGTACGACTACTATGCGGACAGTAAGAACACCGCGATGATGATCTGGGATGCGCTTCAAAAGAAGTACGACACGGAGGAGGCTGGAGCTAAGAAGTATGCTGTCAACCGCTACCTGCGCTACTAGATGGTGGATGACAAGTCCGTCGAAGTTCAGTCCCACGAACTTCAGAAAATAGCTCATGAGATCGTCTCTGAAGGTATGCCTCTGGACGATCAATTTCAAGTTGCTTGCATTATTGATAAGCTGCCCCCTTCGTGGAAAGATTTTAAGAATATGCTTAGGCACAAAACCAAAGAATTTTCACTGGAAAGCTTGATTACTCGCCTAAGGATTGAGGAAGAGTCCCGCAAGCAGGATATGAAAGAAGAGGTGATGGTCGTCACTGCTAAACGACCCACCCCTAGAGCTCTTAAACCTAACCAGAAAGGGTTTAAGAGTAAGAACCAGCAGGTCCGCCCCCACCAGAATGGTGCCTCTCGAGGTAACCAAAGGGTCATGGCCCAAACCTCTAAGAATGACCCACCGTTTATCTGCTATAACTGTGGAAAACCGGGTCATATGGCAAAGAAGTGCCGGAACAAGCAAAACCCTGCCGCTGCTGCCAGGGTCAACTTGACAGAAGAGGATTTGATAGCCATGATCACAGAAATGATCGTTGAAGTTAACCTCACCGGTGACTCAGAAGGATGGTGGCTGGATACAGGTGCATTGAAGCATGTATGCAACAATCGTGTTATGTTTAAAACATACACAGAAGCACCTGCTGACAAGAAAGTGTTGTTGGGGACTACTCACACCACTATGGTTGCTGGTTCTGGTGAAGTGGAGCTGAACTTCACCTCTGGGAAGAAGATGGTGCTCAAGGATGTGTTGCACACTCCAGAGATAAGGAAGAATCTTGTTTCGGGATATCTTCTTAATAAGGCTGGGTTTAATCAAACTATTGGGGCAGACTTGTATACCCTTACTAAGAATGGGAGTTTTGTGGGAAAGGGATATGCATGTAATGGGATGTTCAAGTTGAATGTTGAGATTAATAAGATGAATTCTTCAGTTTACATGGTGTGTGATTTGAATGTCTGGCATGCGCGTCTTTGTCATGTGAACACACGTATTGTGAAGAATTTAAGCAAGCTAGGACATATCCCTAAACTCTCAATGAATGAATTTGATAAATGTGATTTCTGTAGCCAAGCTAAAATAACGAAAACGCCCCATAAATCTGTGAGTAGAGAATCAGAACCCTTAGATCTTATTCATTCTGATATTTGTGAACTAGATGGGACGTTAACTAGGTCTGGCAAGAGATACTTTATCACTTTCATAGATGATTGCTCTGATTATTGCTTTGTTTATTTGATGAAAAACAAAAGTGAAGCCCTTGATATGTTCAAGGTATTTGTGGTTGAATTTGAAAATCAGTGCAATCGAAAGATAAAAAGACTTAGGAGTGATAGAGGATCAGAGTATGACTCTAATCCCTTCAAGGAATTCTATAGCTCACATGGTATCATTCATGAAACCACGGCACCATATTCACCAGAAATGAATGGTAAAGCTGAGCGGAAAAATAGGACGTTTACAGAATTAGTTGTGGCTATTATGCTCAATTCTGGAGCTGCTTCTTCTTGGTGGGGTGATATTTTGTTGACAGTTTGCTATGTGCTAAACCGTCTTCCAAAAACAAATAGAAAAGAATCACCCTATGAGATCTTGAAGAATAAGCCACCTAATCTGTCCTATTTAAGAACGTGGGGTTGTTTGGCCTACGTAAGAATTCCGGATCCTAAGAGGATTAAATTGGCTAGTCGAGCATATGAATGTGTCTTCGTTGGCTATGCGGCCAATAGTAAGGCATATAGATTCTATGATTTGAATGCTCGTACTATAATAGAATCCATTGATGCTGATTTCTTTGAGACACGATTTCCATTTAAAACGAGAAATAGTGGGGGTAATGTACTACCCGCTATTAGAGATAACGGAACTAGTGGGGGTGTTGGTTCTGAGGATGAACTCAGAAGAAGTAAAAGAGCTAGAATCTCTAAAGATTTTGGTGATGACTTTACTACAGTATTCACCCTCGAAGATCCAAAAAGTTTGCAGGAAGCACTAACTTCCGTAGATGCAGATTTTTGGAATGAGGCCGTTATAGACGAAATGGAATCGTTAGAAGCTAATAAGACTTGGCATCTAACAGACTTACCTCCTGGCTGCAAAGTCTTAGGTAATAAATGGGTTCTAAAAACGAAACGGAAACCTGATGGTGCAATCGAAAGGTTCCGAGCTCGTCTAGTAGTGAAGGGCTACATGTAGAGAGAGAATATTGATTTCTTCGATACCTATTCACCAGTACCTAGAATAACATCCATTCGTGTAATGATTGCTCTTGCTGCCTTGAACAATCTCGTGGTACACCAAATGGATGTTAAGACCGCTTTTTTGAACGGTGATCTGGATGAAGAAATCTATATGGAACAACCAGAAGGGTTTGTTATCCCCGAACATGCCTCGAAAGTCTGTAAGTTAGACAAATCATTATATGGTTTGAAACAGGCTCCAAAACAGTGGCATGAGAAGTTTGACACTCTCGTTCTCTCACATGGCTTTAAGGTGAATGAAAGTGACAAGTGTATTTACTGCAAGTCAGAAAATAACACTTGTACTATCATATGTTTGTATGTAGATGACATGTTGATATTTGGTACAAATATTCACGTGGTCAATGAAGTAAAAGCCATGTTGAAAGAGAGCTTTGAAGTGAAAGATCTGGGAGAAGCAAAGTTTATGCTTGTAATCCAGATAACTAGAACAGCAAATGGTTATTCTCTAGATCAATCTAGCTACATTGAGAAGATCTTGAAGAAATATAACTATTTCGACTGTAAACCTGCGTGTACACCGTATGATGCTAGTGTAAAGCTATTTAAGAACACTGGAGACAGTGTAAGACAATCAGAA